TACACCCGGATTGCAAAGACCCTAAACCCTACAGCCTATAAACCCTAAATAGGTCAGCGGGACGGAATACCCAGCTTGATTTGGTGCCGAGAAGAACTGGGGGCACTATAGTACTATATGAGCTTTAGTCTAAACCCCTAGTATCCCCTTTAATATTCCGTATAGTAGTCCCCTATATAACCTTCTTTTGGGAGTTTAGACTGTAGCTCATCTGGCTTGTACGAATAAATCCCTCCCGAACCCTATGGCCTATACCCTGAACCCTAAACACCTTACATCCCCCAGTTCCCCCCCCCGCGTACCCCAGCCCTCCCATTACAACCCTGAACCCTAAACCCTGAACACCAAGCCCTCCCAGTACAAGTAGAAGCCAGGCGATCTCTTCGCAGAGCTTCTTCTTCGCGACCTGGGATGTACCCAAAGGGCGACCTGGCGGCTCTAAGGGTGTAGGTTTAGGATTTAGGGTTTAGGGTTTAGGGCGGGGGAGTAAGGGTTTGGACCTAGAAATCCTGGTTACACCAAATAACAGGCCAGTGTCTGTCAAGAATTAGGCACTTAAGGGTAAGAAGACAAATCATAGGCAAACCCTTAGGGTTCAAGGTTTGAAGAGCTAAGGATTTAGGTTTAGAGTTCACGGTTAAGGGTTTAGCTCAGAAATCCAAGTTACACAGGAAATGGGCCACTGTAATTGTCCCAAAGTGGTAGGACATCAGGGAAGGTTCATGGGGGGTTATACGCTGACCAGGGTCTATGCGGCAGTTTTGATCAGATTCTTAAAAAACTTGACATTTCCAGGGCTTACAACTCAGGATTAACAATTTCGGGCTTGTCTATGGTTCATTTGCGTGATTTTCAGAAATCGAGGTCACGTTTTATATGTAAATATCTCAGCCAAGGGGGGTTCTAGAGGGGATTGTATAGGGGACTACTGCGGGGGTTATTGAGAGGATCCTCGGAGATTAGACTATCGCCCATATACATTTCAAAATGCCATAAATGTTTGCTGTGGTGAACCCACCCTAACTTTCCCAAACCCCTAGATAGTTCCATGACATGATGAATTCCTTTCGCGCAGGGACACACGCACTGTTCAAGATTTCAGGCAACTCTTTTACCCCTATTCACTGTACATATGATTGTAACTTGCACGATATCTAGGCTATACACAGTGTTGCAAGGTTCCCTGCATCCGCCGAATAATTCAGGAACCTAAATGTCCTATATCCGAGTTCCTCATATGGGGTCTAGGGTTTAAGGTTGGAGGTTTTAAAGTTATTATTGAGGGATTACATAAAGGACTAGAATAGGGTTCATTTAAGGGGGATACTAGGAGTTAAGACCAGCTGATAATATGGGACACGGCGTCTAATGAGTCAGGGTTCAAGGCTTTTGTCCGGCATAGGGGTTGGTAATAGTTACTAACATCATGGTCTTGGATTACCAGGTTTCGGGTTTAGGTTTTCGGGCTTTTAGGGTTTAGGGCTTCATTAGGTTTTTGGATTTGATTTAGGGTCGAGGGTTTCGGGTTTAGGATGTAGGGTTCAAGGTGTTGCAGAAAGTTACTTGCATGCCATTGTTGCAATCCCCACAAACGTGGGCCCTCACTGCGTTGTTGTCTGTACCTGTACTATAGTCATAGCGGAGAATGAAAAGCATTTTTGCAAATACCTAAACCCTAAAACATTAGGTAAGGACATGGATGCCAACAATATAGGTTCCCTTAGGAATAATATTGTTGCGTGCATGTACAGAGATATGGGCCATTATCTATGTACATATATATATATATATCTGTATGGTAACTAGTTTCCAAAAATAGAGGGACCCCAATATACACCCCAATACACTATACGTAGTCCTCATTATTGGGATCCACCAAAAAGGTACCCCTAATTTTGAGAAGCCCCCATATATATATACACATATGTATATATGTACGAATATGGACCGTCCACTTGAAAACCTGGGCATGATTCCTCACAACGGATTAAATCCGATTCAGGGTTTAGCAAACACACAGAACCCAACGCCCCTAGACCCTAAACCCTAAACCCTAAACCCTAAACCCTAAGCCCTAAGCCCTACACCCTAAACTGTAAACCCTACACCCTGAACCCTAAGCCCTAAACCTTAAATCCCCATAAAGCTGAACACAGGCTCCTCCTCCTACTTAGCATGACGGTCAGCGCCTTTGCGTCCTCCCGCTTCATCTATGAGCACAACGACCTCGAGGTCCTACCATGTTGAGGGTTTAGGGTTTAGGGTTTATAGGGTTTACGGTTTAGGGTTTCTAGGGTTTAGGGTCTAAGGTTTAGGGCCTCTTTACCACAGCTTTAGGTGTGAAGGTCTTTGGTTGCCATTTGTAGAGGGTTTAGGCTCCCTAAACCCTTAAACCCCTACACGCTGTATAGGAGATTCCATTTTCTTTTCCATTATCCCAATGTAACCCCAATATTACCCCAATATTGCCTCAATGGGTACCTATATCCCCTCTGCTTGCGGGAGTTACTGTACAGAGACGATTTAGGCCTCAACCTTAAACCGAAAACCCTGAACCCTAAACCCCAAATCCTAAACCCCCTAGATCCTAAGCCCTAAACCCTAAACCCGAAATCCCAGACCCTAAGCCCTAAACCCTAGTAACCCTAAACAGGGCCAAGGAGTATGCTCAAGGTCGGAGCCAGGGGTGTCGAGAGCCTGGCAGGAGATCTGGGGAGCTGTCTGGATGTGTAACAAGAGGCTCTCAAATTCCATAAGGCTTAGGGTTTAGGGTTAAGGGTTTGGGGTTTAGGGTTTAGGGTATAGGGTTTAGGGTTCAGGGTTTAGGGTGTAGGATTTGGGGTTGAAGGTTTAGGGGTATAGGGTTAGGGTTTAAACCGTATGAGACATCCTCAGCTGGTGCCGCAGCCTCTGTCTGTCTCCAGCACAACAGTAACAAGTTGCCAAAGATGGCGCTCGCAGCCACCTCGCACGATGATGCAGCTTGGCTGACGGCCCCTAGAGTTTAGGGTTTAGGGTTTCTCACTGGTTGAACGCAAGTTCTATCAATACCTTCAAGGCATCTACGTAAGGAACGCCGCCCAGAACTGACGGACATTCACTAATCAAAGTCAAGCCTCTTCCAATAGTAACAATGCGGTGCAAGGCAGGAGTTAGTTGCAAGAGTCTCATGTAATATGATCAGGTGACGCGAGGTGGTTGAAGCCAGGCAAAGACAAGCCTTCTGACGATAACCCTACGCCTTACTTGGACAGCCATTTTCCAGAATAATGGGCGTTTGATTGTCAGTATGGATTTTCGGCCATTGCTTTGCCCATCCTCCAAGGCCCTAAACCCTAAAACCATCTAAAACCTCTAGGTCTGAGGTGGGAGAGAGCTGCGTGGCTTTTACTCTGCAGCTTATAGGTGTCTAGGGCCTAGGCTTTAGGATCTAGGGAGAACAGCTTAGGATTCAGGGTTAAGGGCTAAGACTTTGGAATTTGTGCTTTGGGATTGAGGGCTCAGGGTTTAGACCTTGGAGCTGTGACATGCGAATGCCGCACAACGCATTATCTGTTTCCCCAAGCCACAACCATTCCTGGAATCCCAAAGGATCAGCTGTTGGACATTTGGGCTTTTGGGACGGCACAGGGTTCCAGACATTGCCCTGTCATGGCTTTTAGGGTTTAGGGGTTTAGGGTTGAGGGGTTTAGGGTTTCGGGGTTTAGGCGTTTAGGGTTTAGGGGTTTAGGGGTTTAGGGTTTAGGGTCGCAAAGTGATGTTATTGGGGTCATATAGGGAACGCTGTAGTATCCACCGCAATCAAACTCAATTGCAAGTGGTGTGCTCGGCCTGGGCGAAGCGCAGCTGATGATTACGAACCCTTTGGTTAAGGGTTGAGGGTTGAGGGTTTAGGGGGGCCGCATCAGACACCCTGAGCCCGGAGCCGTCAACTCTACTTTAAGCCCTGAAACCTACATCGTAAATCTTAAAACCCCTTGAGGCCGACATCCCAAACCCTACCACCCTAAACCAAGGTCCAGGTGCTTTCCGTGAAGTTAGCAAAGCCGAGGAAGTCGAAGGCCAATGGAGCTCTCCGGTTCAGATTGTAGGGGCGTTAGGGTTAGGGTTTAATTTGCTCTGGAAGTCAAGGATTTGGGATCAGGGTTTGAGAGTCTGAAGGGGCGAGAGCTTCGGTGTCAGGATTTTAGTCGTCTTAAGTTACTGGGGGTGAGTGCTAGGATTTGGGGAGTTTGACGTTAAGTGAGGGTCGTGAAGTTCAGGTGCTGCCGTCGAATGGTTCCTTGAAGGTTCACGTTGCCTAGGTACCCCAGTACTGCCGTTTTGCCCTTTGTATTTTGTGGTCTCCTTATCAAAGCTGAACAGTAGGAAAAAGGGTACCCTTATCATTAATGGGTTACTGGGGGAACCTAGTTTCACAGCTTCAGTATTCTGATGACCGATTGTCGGCTTCCCCTCTCGTTTGGGGGTTGTGTCCTGCAACTACTCAGAATTTTTACTACTGTAGTATAATAGGACATCTATTGGGGTAAATATTGGGGTTATGTTGGCATTTTATTGGGGGTTATATAGGGAAAATGGAAAAGAACATGGAAACTACTACACCTACATAGTATATATCACTGACTCTTCGTCATTTTGCCACACCGCTATGGATCTGTGGGCCTGGGTTTCGATGCTGGGTTGGTCCAGACGAGCCATAGTCTAAACTGCTTAGATGGGGGCTATAGAAGGGGATGATATGGGGGACAATTATAGTGCTTATTTATTGGGATACTAGGGGTGTGGGCTATAGCTCGGATGTTTGATGAGGTCTGTTTATGGTTGTTGGGCTTTGTAGAGTTCAGGGCCAGGGGCTTAGCATTCACCTGGTGGCCCAAGACCAACGAAAAGAGCGACCTTGCTCCTAAACCCTAAACCCTACACCCCCTGACAAGGAGCTGAAGAAGGAGATCAAGGAGTTGGTAAGTGGTGGAACAGCGAAGGTGAAGCGAGAAATCATGGAGGAGGAGGCGCACTGGTTTCCCCTGTAATGAAACTAGGGTTTAGGGTTAAACAACAAAAGCACTCAACAGGCCCCAATGATTTTTTCAAGTATCATAACGTGCGGTACCTTATACTGAGGATTTGCGCACGTGTGTTCCAGTAGTGGAGAAGACATGCATTATGTTGTGATAGGGATGCTGGCGATCCCAATGCAGAGGTGGCCATGTTTTTTCAGGGTCCACTTCTTGCATAATTAGTATGAAGAAGCGAATGCATTCCTGCTTTTGTACAATTACAACAATTAGGGTAGAGGGAATCCCTGGCCAGTGAGGTCAAGAAGGAGAGGGATGCAGGAGTCAAGCATGAGAGATGCAATGAGGCCACCGGGCAGGCAAGCAAGGAAGAGCATGCATCCAATGCACATGGCCAGATTGCAGCGAGGGCGGTAAAGCAAGAGGTGCCTCCTTCGCGTACCGACCAGGTGGACAAACACCTGATGAAACATGTGAAGCAAGAGATGAGAGGGGAGGCCAACAGGATTGCGCAGGGCAGCATCAAAGACGAAGTGCAGAAGCACAAACAGAAGGAAGTGAAGCACGAGGTCAAGTCAGAAGTACTTGTAAAGCAGCACCTGAAAAAAGAGGTCAAGGAGGAGGATCCAGGAAAGGTGAAACATGAGGTCAAAAAGGAAGTGAAGCTGGAGGTGAAGACGGAGGCAAGACTGCTATGTCACGTGCCAGGTAGTCTTTTCGATGATTGGATTCGTGGATTGCTAGGTTGGAGAATGGTCAAGTTGGAGGGCATGCCTTTGATTTCGAACCCTCAACTCCTAAATTCCACGTTTGAGGATGTGGGCTTGGGCGAGATACCCAGGCCTGGTTACAGTGCATAATCCTTTACAGCATTGAAGATATATGGGTCCTAGACTTCCGCCTTATGTCCTGTGTTGTGTCTGACCTTTGTAAAGGAGCACTCAAGTTACGACTCGGCTGTATTGAGTTTCGTCCATTGCTGCTATGGTTCATGACGGATGAAGTTCATAGTACGCTGATACAAGTGTGCCGCCAAATGTTAAGTCTTTCTTTCCTTCTTTATTTATTTCCCTCGCTGGCTCTCTCTCTCTCTCTCTCTCTCTCTCTCTCTGTGTCTCTCACAAACGCAAGCCTGTCTCTTGGAAGACTTCCAGTATGGGAGTAAAGATGTTTCAAGCCTTAAGCCTCAAGCCCTGCAAAGACCTCTTGCCACTTGGGACCAGGGTGCGGAGATTGTCGGTCGGCTATCATGACAGCCACAGCTTGTGACAGCCTGTGGTGTTTTTGTAGTCCAAGAAGCAGGCAATGTCGTTAAATCATGAGGAACCCTGCATCCCGGTCATGAGTAGACGTGCTGAGCAGCCAGTATCTATGAATAATCACAAGGAAAAAACAATGAGAACCAATAGAAAATGAGAAATAGCGGTTAATAATACAAGTAGTAGTACACTAGTCAATTAACACTTGTACACGAAGACTAAGAACAATACAAATAACAATAACAACATTATTATCTTAAACCGTAAATCCCAAACCCTAGGCCCTAAGACATAGTATGCCAAATCTATTCAAGCGGGGTCTTGGACTGGGGTGCTGCGAGCTTAATGTCTCCTTGCTTGCAGCTCTGGGTTTGGGGTTTAGGGTTTGGTGTTCGGGTTTAGGGTGTCCAACATCCTCAAGACCCCAAGTTCTTGCACATTCGTAATGCAATTAGCCAGCTGCCTTGTTTTCTAGACCAACCTGTTGTTGATATGGGCCTACAAACGATCTGAAGTCCAAGTGCTTGACGTCCCGGAACCCTCTGAACCCTCCGAACCCTAAACCCTCCAAACCCTCCAAACCCTAAACCCTAAACCCCAAACCCCTCTAAACCCTCCGAACCCTAAAAACCCTAAAACCCCGAAGCCGCGCAGGAGCATTCGCACGGAGACAGCGCTACAGCAACACACTCGCCCCTCAGGAGAAATAAGGAAAACTGGTCTAGGGTTAGGGTTTAGGGTCTAGGGTTTAGGGTTTAGGGTTTAGGGTTTAGGGTTGAGCTTCTAGGGACCGATTGTGACTACGTGGGAGCAGGTCCTTGTTAAGGATGATATCTAGGATTCTTTTTGAGGATCTCCCGTTCGTTGTCCGGCTTGTCACTACAAATATCATTTGGATATAATGTAGACCCGTGATTAATAAACCCCATCCTTTTAAGGAGAGCCTTAGTATTAGGATCCCCATTATAATCCCTATAAGAGGAGGAGGTTCATTAATTAGGGGTCTACATTACCCCCGCTTCGTGAAGCCCAATCTCGGCATTTCTCAAAGATCATCCCGACAGGATCCCAGAGTTTAGGCTTTAGGATTTAGGTGAATCCCAGATATGGACCACATCATCCTTGATAAGCTCCACATACCCCCTAGGGTTCCTTTGGGAACCCTAAAACTCCTCGTCTTGGGAGACCCCCATGCGAGAATTTTCACAGCGGTTTAGCGATTGTTTGGCCTTAAGGTTTAGGGCTTGCAGCCATGAATGCCTTGAAGTATTCACCCCGAAGCCCTTCCCCTGAAGCTAGCAACCCCTCAATCTCGTAGCTCCGACCCCATGAACCCTTCGGTCCTAAAGGCTTCGCCGGCAACCACCAGACACGCCAGACACCAGTTGACCTAAACTTGATGCAGCCCAACCCCACATCCTAAGTATTGGGTAAGGCCCCCACCCAGTAGTCGTGGCATTATATGAATATGTAAATAACCCTAACATATTTCCCTTTATCCCTTGTAGTCACCTATTGACGGCCCAATCTAAACAAAACTCCAATCACAAGGTTTATGGGTTCGGGTTAAGGCTTAGGTGTTCAATCAACCCCTTTTCGAAGCCAAGGTTCTGCAGCAACTCCCTGGTGCTTAGTGGGGAGAGAAGGAATGGACCTCTATAGTAATCTGCACAATCCTCGTATACCCCTTGTACAATTAGGGGTGTGGGTTGCGGGTTTGGGCTGAAGTCTAGTTCCGCAATCCATTCCACCATTCCCTACTGAGCAGCAGGACAACAGTCATATTGTTGTCATTATTGGTGTGTCGACCGGTTATTATGACCATCAAAGTCTTGCAATCCCAGCAGGGCTTTTGAAGGTGTAGGGCCTACTTGACATTTCTCTTTGATACAAAAGACCTAGGTTTTGTTTTACTGCCTGCTGGCAAGTCTGTTGACAAGCGATATTGTGGTATCGATCCCTACATATGTAGCACGTTGAGATGAATTTCGCATCTAAGGCTTGAGGCCTATAGTTCCAAACATTCTTCAGCCCACATGAACTAAGCCTTGTTGATGACTAAGGACTGGAGTGAAGCGAGAGAACCCCGGAGGTGCGGCCATCCGTGTGAAGCAGGAAGACTCCGAAGGCAGGTTCTGGTGTAGTCAGTATCAATCTAGAAGAGAAGCAGATGCAGATGCGTTTTGATTTGTGCCAGTTCAGCTGAGGCCAGGGTCTGACGAAACGACGACGCATGAGCCAGAAGGGGCCGGACTTGTCAGTTCCGTCCTTTGAGTCGCAGCTGCCAGTGTGGGCGGAGAAATGCCTAGCATTTCAGATCTCTGGCAAAACGTGGCTCCCAACGAAGCCCTGCTGCCCGGCAAGCTTGTTTGTCGGTCTCGGAAGGGCTCCATGGCAAGAGAGCGGTGAGGTGCACCCAACGCCGTGCGCGCAGCGTCTAGGCAAAGCTCAGCTCCGTGAGTTCCGAGCCTTCTTCCGCGAGCAGCCGCACCATGCGCTCTTCAAGAGCATTGCTGGTCCGCAAGAACAGGCCTCCAGGCCCAAACCTTTGAGCTCAAAGCCGCCTCTCGGAAGACCAGCTGGTGGCTCGAGATGGGAGTGTTACAAGATGTGGCCCTGGATGCGTGACCTTCCCACAAGGCTGTGGATGGGCAATGGCTGGATCATGGAAGAGGACGGCATGCGTAAGCTGGAGCCCTCCGAGCCCGGGGGCGCCATGCCAGGCGTCCAGATCTTCGAGTCCGTAGGCACCGCCGTGGACGAGTCCCAGCAGGACGGCTCTGAGGTGCACGCAGCTGAGCCAGGCCAGGCCACCACCAGCAAGTTCCGGGGCCTGGACCGCCAGAGTGGTGTTCGAGGCATATGCTGGAACAGGCAGATGGCATGTTGGAGGATATCAGTGCAACAAGCTGGCAAGCAAAAACATATCCAATTCTTCATCGCTCCGTTCCTGAAGAAAGGCCTCAGTGAGGACGAGGCCGTGGAGGCTGCGCTGCGCGAAGCCAAAGCCCACCGCGAGGAGCTGGTGCGGAAGGGCGTCCTCAAGCCACCGAAGGCCGTAAAACCACAGCACCCAAGCCAAGCCACGGTGAAGGGGCTGAAATACAACAAGACCTCCAAAACATGGCAAGTGCAGCTGACTGATCCCATCACCAAGAAGCTGGTCCATGGCGGTCGGTTCGTCACCCAGGAGGAGGCCGAGTCCAAGGCCCGGGAGCTTGCCAAGGAGCTGGGCATCAAGGATATCGAGCACAAGGTGGTCCCGGTGAAGCGTCTCTCGGAGCTGAAGCACTTCGAGCCGCT